GTTAGGGAATTAGAAAACAGGTAGGTAGCGTCTCAACTATAAATGGCCAGTTTAAGATAATAATTACAGTTTACAACTCAGATTCTAAAAAACATCCTAAACAAGATTCTAAAAAGGTGACTTACCTGTAGATATCATGACAGACAGCTATGGTATCATTCAAACCTTTGAGACAAAGTAAAGTACAATAGCTCAACTTGTCAACTAGCATCATATTATGATTTGAAAATTGATGATGATGAAAGATTATTTCATTTTGTTCACCTTGTTTCATTTAGTTGCTTAATATGTATAAATGAATGCTCTACTGCTGTGTCTGCTGGATGATGGGGTCACTTTAAGTTCACAGGTTTCACACAATAAATGTGTCACAATGGAAACTTTGGAAGCTTGTACTTTCATGGAAGAGAATCTGAATCTAAATTAAAAACATAGTGTTTCTGTTACAAAATACAGTATCTTGTGACTGAAATATTTTTTCAACAGACTTCAGTTTATGACAGAAAAAGTTAGAAAGCTTTATTTTTTACTAGAACTGTGTTTTTTTAAGGTTAAATAAACAAACCTTAAATATTTGTTAAAATCAGAAATAATAAATTGTATTGTGACATTCAGATTCAGAATTGTTGACTAAGAACTACACAAGTATTGTTGTACCCATTTAAAAGCAGAACCTTGTAGAATTCCGATATAATTCTGTATAATTCATTTACAGTCCAAGATAAAAGAAACATTATTCTATCTGTATTTACCAATGGAAAATAAAGACACTAGATTATTTTAAACCTAAGCTTCGTTGTTTAGTTTGTCAGCAACTCTTCTTATGTTCATACAGTATGTGTCTTTTCTACATGCATTCATGACATCAGTTGTAATCTTTGATGGTATGTGGTTTTCCTACAAAGAACTGTGATGTATTTTTGGGGGAACCTCCCTGTTTTATGTAAGTATTAGGTAATACAGTATATGATATTTGACTACACCTGTGATCTAATTTTGAATTTCCTATAGTTTCTCCTTTATACATAGCATTCTAACAGTAGTCAATGGGTTGAAGTTGCAGGTCAGCAAAGTTGAGTTTTTTAGGAATGGTTACTGAGCTTATATTAGGTCTTATTAGCGAGAGACATGTCTGGAAGAGAAGCATGTAATTGGAAGACATATGTCACTTGATAACTTAATTTTGACATTTACAATTAAGTGCCATTTTCATACAAAAAAGACAGGCAGACAGGGCAAATATACAGTATTTGCTTTGGTGCAATTGCATCTTTCCTCCAAGTCAGGACATTAAACGGTATGCTTCGATTTAATTCATTATAGCCAAAATATGGCATCTTGTTAATTCTGTGCCACCTGGAACTGACCACCAAGCCACTGTGTAATTAGTTATAAGTATATGTTTCTTCTGCCTATGTTATTTGGACCTACAGTGTATTTCTAGATTGCTGTTTCTAATGCATTAGTAGGCAGTAATGTTTCTGAAATAAATAGCGTTTTATTGCTATTAAAATAGTTTATGCTTCTTCTACTGTAAATCTATTTGTAAGCTTAAAAATGTCAGCAAAAAGTTTTACCTTAACAATGGAAACTGAAAGCTCGTATTGTGATTGCATTTCCTTTATGTATGGAAAAAAAAAACATTCCTCAGAAGAAATATTTTGGCAGTTTATTCCTGTATTGAATATGTTACCAAGTTATTCAATCTTTCTGTTATATACAAAAAAATCTTCTTTTGTGAAAAGCGGACATTGAGAAATTATTTTGAAACCTTAGACTTCCCAGAGTAGTGTTATTTGGTTCCAGTGCAGATGACATTGCTATAAAGAAGTGCTTTTAAAAACAATTCATATTTTAATATATTGGATAATATTGTCTGTCTTTGGTACTATCATTCCTAATAACAGCTTGCCTTACTGTTTGTTCTAATTTAAAATTAATTGAATAAGGAAGTGAATACAGTGCTTTAAATTATGTATTTATAAATTGGTTATAAGTAAATGTAAGCTTTATGGTAAGACCTAAATCCAATAATGTTGTTAATAAAGCTGGTTTTACATTGCATAATGTATGGTCCGTACTATCCTAAGCATGGATAGGATGCAGTGCCTTTTTTTTCTGTAGTTAAAAGGACATTGTGTTTCCTGATAAATGTATTATAGTCAACTCCTGGAATACATTGGTTTTAACAACGCTAATCCTTGGTCCAATAAGTAACAAGACTACTGTCAAAAAATCCAAAGCCAGGTATTTTTTTCTTCCATTCCTTTTCTAACCACTTTATCCATCAGTGGGGTAAGGCAGTCTAGAGCCTATGGCAGAAAGCAACAGGCACATGGCAGGATACACCCTGGATGGGATGCCAGTCCATTAGTGGGAAAACACAAACACACACTCATACCAGGGACAACGTTTCCCAGAAACCAATAACATACTAGTACAGTATGTCTATGGGCTGTGGGAGGAAACCCACATGTAAATGTGGAGAACCTACAAACTCCATGTAGATAGCACCCCAAAAATTTAACCTAGGGCCCCAGTGCACTACCATGCTGCCCCACACCATTGACACAGTATGTTTTGTTCATTTCATGTTTATTTACCAGTGCTTAGAAAAGTACTGCACTGTATGTGTGACGTATAAAAGACAATGGGAAGTTGCCAGTATTTACTCTAATCTATATACAGTACTTCTTATCTATATAGCTAATATAAGAGCACATCTGTAAGAAATTAGCACTCCGTCTTTCCCCGTAATTGTTTTGTCTCCTTGGTTAGTTGAAATGAGCCTTCTTTCTTTGGATGAAGACAAACTGCAAATTAACAGCTCCAGCTCCCACTTTGATTCTTCAGAAACTGATGTGGGAGGAAAGGTAAATCAAAGAACCATCCAACCACGCAGGCTCTTAAAAGAACCTCAAAGTGAGTTTTGTAAAACTTAATGGTCTTCTTTTTTTACTTCTGTTGTCAAGGGTTTGAGCTAATTTATCTTGTCCTTACATATTCTGTTTCTGTTGTTTTATTGTATAGTATTTCATTTTTTAATCTTCTAGAGACGTTCAGCTTTTTCCTTTTTTCACTGACATACAACAGAAATCACATTATACACAGTACAATGACAGTTACAGTATATTTGGGAGTTGGCAAATTGTTTTGAAAATGAATCATGAAGTAAGTTTAAAAAAATAATGTATGTCTTATTTGACTTTGTTCTAAATTATCATTATTATTCAAGACTTATTGTTGCACTTTATTAAAAGTCAAGCGATTTGTTGGAATCACATGTAGGACATAGATACAAAGTATCTTGGAAGATTGGAAGAATGATTTTCCCAGAAAATATATGCTTTGATGCTCAGCTCTTTCTCCTTCACTCGCAACAAGCCACATTAGGAACACAGTAGTAGGTCTGATTGAAAAACAGTTGGTCACTGTTATTCAATCTGTGTATGAACATGGAAAAAAACAGCCCTTCACTTACTGTATATTCTTTGAAGACGTTTTTAACACACTGATTTTCTGTACAATATGTGCATGTGCAGTGTGAAAGGCATTGCACTCACTTTGAAGACATTTTACAAAAACTCAGAAAAAAAGTTCCATATCGGCTATTTTAGGAAGTTTAGTTCTTTGGATTAATCTTGAAATGACCTGTTTTAGAGGCAAAGACCTGGGGCAATAGGTTGAAGTGGTTTGTTAATTTTCTGGCTACTACTGTAACTACTCTAGAAAATCAAGCCACTATAGCCCAAGGTCCCAGCAGCAGGGCTGGTTTTCTTCATTATTGTGCTCTTTCCATAGAGATGCTGCAAGTAAAATGAATTGGTTTAGTTTTTTTTTTCAATTGTTGGTATGTTTTTATGCATAATTCTTGTATTTACAGTATGTAGTTTTATTTTCTTCTTCATTATTTCTTCTTATTTTCTTCTTCATTATCCTCTTAAGATTTGAATAAAATCTGAAGGGCTTGTAACTATCCCAGTCTATTGACGCAATATATTTACTTTGTATGGTGTTATAATCTGCAGTGGACATGATAACCTACACATTTCAGACTCATCAAATATCATTACATAACATCTACAGATAATATGCTCTGACTTTCATACAGCATACAGTATATAAACTTAGTCAAGAAGCACAGTGGGATCTCTCTTTGATCCAATATAAATAATGTATACCACAAAATTGTATGGTAGACAATAACATTGCTATTAACATTTCATTATGTCAACTGTTAATAAAATCTACAGAATAAATTGTTTACAGACAATTTTTGATTTTGCAGTTTTGTACAGTATTATTTAAGTAGCATATAAATCGGTAACAAAAGCATGTCTGGTCATGGGGACATACTAGTCACTTTTAATTTCTCCCTGTGTTCGAACTGCCCATAGTGATGTCTTGTGAGTTGCTAAACATGCTTAATTAAAATTGAGGTAACCAATAGTTAATTCAGAGGTCAGCTATAAACAAATCTGTCACAGCATGTAAAAGAAAAGTGTCTGTGTATTCCGTAATTTTTTTAAATCAACTACTTTGTAGAATTGTGCAATGGTTAAATTGGGAATGAGATTTGTGTTGTTGTTTTTTTTGTATTTGTACAGTGGGGAACAAGGTGTCTTTTGTCCAGAGTAATTTACTCATATGGTTTTGAAAACATCAAGAAAATAATATGCTTTCATTTTCAGTTTATTAAATTTAAGACAGGTATAGTTTAAAAGGGACTCAATTTGTACGTGATGACTTGCTATTATAACGTAACATATTACCAATTTATTCCTACTGTTGTGCACAGATGTATCTTAATGTATAGGACAGTATATACAGTACTATTATAAAGAACTGTAAACTTTATTAGTACCACCCACTTAAAATTGTCCAGGGTCTCCTGAGTTCTGGAAATAATTGAAGAGAAAACTTAATTCTGTCCACCGCCCCTTTCTCTGAAAACACCCACGTGTAGATTTGATTTGTACCAACTGACAGCCTGCAGCCCCAAAACCTCAGACTATTTTGTTCTCTTCCAAGCTCAGATCGTTTCCGAGTGCTGAGGTGTTCAAGCTTTTTGTAAACCTGCTCGATACTGGCTGCTTTTTTAACAACCCGCAATGGCTCAAAACTGAGCATGCGATTCGTGAAAAGCAGAGACCTGTTCGAACAGATACAGTTTTTCTTTCTTTGAAATCTTCTTTCTCCCCGATTTCCCAAAGGCAGAGGAATTGGTGAATGGTTACTTTTCGGAAACAACTTGATACGCTTCTCTGGGCTTAACCGAAATCAGAAAGAAGCACTTTGCACGGATTGAAGTAAAACACTGCAGTTCTGTGAACTTGAAGGTTTTGTATTATGGGGACTCGGTGGATTCTACAGTACTTTATAGGATCTGTAGCGTTATCAGCTCTCTCAGTGCTGACAGTAACAGGACAAATTCCCGCAAACCATGAAAAAGACCAATTCAAGGCAGATGAGGAGAAAATCTCAGCATTGAGCAGAGTGAGAAGGAGAGGACAACAAGACTTTCTTAGAGGGTAAGAAAGTTTTTAGCTCCCATATAAACCCCCAGGCCTTTGCTTTTTAATGTTGATAACTGGAAAGTAATCGGAAATTAAAGCGCTTTACCTGCTTATTCAGGGGAATTAGAGGATATGTCAACGTGGTCAAATTTGCACATCACCGCTCTAACATGGAATTAACAGTCTTAACGTTCAGTTGTAAAATAAGAGAGTAATACTTTGTTCGCTTTGAATATGCGTTGGAATCCTGTTTAATTCATGTGTAGAGTATTAATTTAAATTAGGCTAGATTTGATTGCTGCATATGAGGAAACAAATAATGGCACGTTGCTTAAAACTGCATTATACGTTCAGCATATTTACAGTAGGTTTTGAATTTCGAAAATTAAGTTTTTCATATTTAAATATTATTTGTTTACAAATATATAAATATAGTTTTATTATTGTAATCATGGTAGAATTTTTTTTATTTTGTTGTGTTTTGCGATCTAGGTTGTGCTTTGGTAAATTGGTTATGTAACTTTATTTTGTATTATTGCTTAAATGTCCGGAACATTTGGATTGATTTCATGTAATTTGCTTCGGAATTATGCGGAATTAAGTGTTCCCTTAAAATATCATACATTACAACAGGCCAAATGTGTGCGGGTCTCGATTCCATTCCTATTGCTGTCCTGGCTGGAAAACATTACCTGGAGGAAACCAGTGCATTGTCCGTGAGTACTAAGTGTTGAAGCAGATGCAAATAAACACATCTGTGTATGTTTGTACTGTACTGTAGGTGCAGTAAAATTCGCACACACGATTTGCTAATTTCATACAACCGATAGTGGGCACTACAGTATGTCACGATACCCATACATTCTTTTAATTATTAAATCTTTAGGGCAATGAGGATTGTAATTGTTCAGCACCGATAATCTTACTAAATTATATACTGTAAATGTTCAAGTATTGAAGGCTGCTGTATGTTTGATACCACAATGAATAATAGTTATGAAAACCTAGGCTTTGACAGGTTATTTTATTATTGTATTTTGTCAATGCATATAAATATCTAAACAATTATTTATGAATGTATTTTGAAGGAAGAAATGTGAATGAATTACAGAATAATTTAGACTAATTCTTTCATAGTTGTGGAATAACACTGACTCATATAAAGTAGATTCAGTATTATGCAGATGGTTTACTTAATGTGCGCTTAGAGGTTAATTACTATAAAATTGTCGTTCTGACTTTTTATTAAATAGTCTAAAATAGTTTTTTTTTTATTTAACAAAAAGGGTTGAAAAAAGGATTGATATAAATTCCAGTCAGAACTGGGTAGTAAGGGAGGATTGGATTGTGTGTTGAAGTGGTGTCAGTGGTAAAGCACTTGCTAATGTTTGCAAGAAATTAATGAAGGATTTTTAAAACCCTTAAATGTTTCTTTGAACGCTACAACAGTGAATTTGTTGGTTGGGAACTATCAAATGAAATATCTGCTTTTTTGCATTTTTGTACATGTATACGATGCATTTGTTTAACCTATTGTATTGCACTCAACTGCTGCTCCCCTTTAACTGTATGTTCTGTCGCAATTGAGTTCTGTCTTTTGGGATTAAGTCAAGAATAGTTTTACGTTTTCTTAGATTTTTACTTTGTAATTCTAATTTAAAATTAAAAAAATACTAAAATGGAATCCGTGAAGAAGTTTTTTTTTCATTTTAGTGAAGACTTTAGAGTTTTAGGTGGTAGGAGTGCATGGAGGAAGAGGTGACTCTGAGACAAGTGGAAGGAGAAATGAGTAGCAGAAGAGAGGGAAGAGGAATATTTGAGGACCATCAGCATAAAAATAAAAAGAAGCCTTAAGAAGCAATAAGAGATACTAGGTTGTAAGTGTGCAGAGAGACCAGTAGGGAACCAAGGACAGTTAATCCTCAGCGTCGATACACAAGATAATAGAGTGGTTCACTGTGTAAATGATGGCAGAACGATGTGCTACACAAAAACTACTTTTATAGAGCTTCATTATGCAAATGTAAAGAAAACCATAAGCCACCAAGCGGAATTTTAAAGGGAAAGCCAGCCAGAGGTGTTTAACTCCCACCTCACACTGGTACACTTGTGGCCAAACCTCAATTTTACTGTATAAAAATCCAAAGACTCACTTTCATCATGCAAGGTCTCAGCCCTTGACAGGAGCCTAAATTATAGTTAGAGGGGTAACTTCTGCACTTCCATTTTGCTGGTACAGTTTGAAGGATATGTTGGCCAAGTGCATGGAAGTTATTGGAGACTATACTGAAAAAGTAGTGAAGAGGCGTACCATCTCTTACCGTCCCTTTAAAGTAACCGATTCTTTGAACCTACTGGCTGGCCGTTGTACTGTATATCCGTCAGTGATGTTGTCAGAGCCACCATTGTCCTTTGTGGAGGAAAAGCTGCATTCAAAAGCACTTTCAGTCAGTACAAACCTCTATTACAAAGCTCCATTTAAACCTGTTTGGATATTATAAAATATTTTTTCATGGGTTTTTAACATCACGACCAAACGAGAAAAAAAAACATATTGAAAGGACAATATAAATCACCTAATTAAATAAGTATAAGGTAAAATTGTAATTAGAAAGTACTGCAGGATTCATTTCAGGACACCAAAAGGTGTTTAAACAGTTATAGCCCCTAGTTTATAACAGGAAAAGGTTTAGTAAAAGTCTGTGTTAAATATCTAAATATTTGGATGTGCTTACATTTTGTCTGTGGTCTGAAAAACGTTTAAATATGACTTGGATTCTGTTTAGTTTTAAACAAGTCTCCTGCTCATGAGCAGTTGAATAGCTGAGTACACAGTACACTCTCAAGGATTATGTTCACTTCTACAAATGTTAACCACATGTCCTCTTCTTGCTGCATTTGTTTGTTTCACTGTCCATGTCTTGTATGAGTCCAATTTCAGCCTCATTATGCTTCTGCCACGTGTTCGATAAAGCTGGAAGTTGGTTTTGCCAGTTCGCAAATAAACATTTTAGTACATTTCTGTATTGTCTCATTTTTTTCTTTAATTTGCAGCCATTTGTCGTAACAGCTGTGGTGATGGATTTTGCTCACGTCCAAACATGTGCACTTGCTCCAGTGGACAGATAGCTCCAACGTGTGGGTCTAAATCTAGTAAGTTCATGCCCATGGTGTAGTAATATTTTTTTCCAGAGTCTTTCATTAACAAAAGTCTAAAATCATAAACAGTAAACAAATCAGCTCTATACTATTGCTTGGATATATATTAATACAGTATATATAGATTAATATATATCCAAGTACTAGTCTATATATTTGAAATGTTTCAACTTGTAGGTTGGCAGTTCTCTTCTCTTCATACGTGCCTTATAAAATGATTAAATGGCATGTTAATTGAAGTTAAATATTGAAAAAATATTTGAACCATTTTTAGTGTTGTATAGATTGTGATGGTTTGAACTTTTCCTATCTGCTATTACTATATTATCAATTGAATTGCAATTGATTATCATTTGGGAGGTTACTAAAAGTACTGAAAGACTGTTATGTTGCTGGAAAACCTTGTAGTGAAGTAAGTTTTTTTAATTATTAACTGTTCCTGAATATTGTTTTACAGTTCAACAATGTAACACTAGGTGTATGAATGGAGGGTCTTGTGCTGAGGATCGTTGTCACTGTCAAAAGGGATACACAGGCACTTACTGTGGACAGCGTAAGTATTTTAAAAATACACTAAGATAGATTCAGAAATTACACTAATATTCCTGTCCTTTTTTATACTGCATTTGAGCAATGTAAGAAGTGAAACATGTCTTTAAATTATAAAATTAATTCGAGTTTGGAAGGTATTTAGTATTTTTCCTGTCTAGTTGAAAGTATGTAATATCTTTGTTATATAACAGACTCTTTGATGCGGGCAGGAGTGCTCAGTGAAGTCTAAAGTCAGAATCCTGCCAATGAAATTCTGAATGAGACGTGTATATTTGATGGAGAAATAGCTTTTCTCTCTGAGAGCGACATTTGCTAGGGTACTTAATGAGGCCACTAGTAATGATTACATTTTAAGTGCTCTCTTAATCGTCATCTTATCAAATTATAGACCAATTTTGTTTGACAACATAATATAAGGGTGGCACAGTGGCGCTGTTATTAGCAATGCTGGGAATTGAGTTCAGTTCCAGACTTGGGGTGATATCTGCGATAATTTCCACTGGGTGCTTGGTTTCCTCCCACAGTCCAAAGACATACAGTACAGTATTGGTAAGTTATTTTTTTATAACATAACATAACTTTATTAGCCCTATACAATTTCTTGCATTAGGAATTTGTCTTTCCACATACCCCAGCTTGCTCTCCATGAGACACACAGACAAGGACAGAAGCTTGGGATCAGAGCACAGGGTCAGCCATTGTACAGCACCCCTAGAGCAGTTGGGGTTAAGGGCCTTGCTCAGGGGCCCAACAGAATAGGATTCCTCTGCCGGCTGTGGGATTTGAACCAGCAACCTTCCAGCCACAGGCGCAGATCCTAAACCACAGAGCCACCCCTCCGCCCATTTGACTTCTAGGAAAAAGAAGCTGTGGCTCTAGGTGTGAGTGTGTGCATACTGTATCTGTATCTGTGGGTGCCCTGTGGTGGACTGGAGTCCTGTCCAGGGTGTGCTCTGCTTTGCACCCGTTGCTTGCCGAGATCGGCTCTGGCTCACTTGTGACCCTAAATTTAATGAAGCAGTTAGAAAATGGGTGGATGGACACAAAAAAAACAAAAAACAAAATGTGGAATAAATCAGACGTCTATTTGGTTGGTAGTCCCAAAATACAAGTAGTGATCCATGGCAGGCTTCCACTGGGAGGATGCTAAAAACAGTTCTCCTAGTAATAAAGGAGCTACCTGATTTAGAACTTGGGCTCATGGATTAAAATATTGGTTTAATCCAGAAACAAGTGTCTGTATTGCACGTAGTAAATTAAAAAGATGTTGAGATATCTTGATTCATATATTCTAATTTAGGTGCTTTTGCAACAAAAAATGAATTCCTAATAAAATTTGAATTTTGCTGGTGGAGAAACATTACTACAACTGAGCATGTGGCCTCCTGTCAGCTCACAGTCAATATGGAGACAGGAAGAAGATCAAAATAACATCACATATTTCAAAGTGGTGTGACTGATTTGCGGGACTGTGTATGCCACAGACTTTTGTCTTGGGATAACATTAAGCAAGTATTCTTCAGATGAAATATTCAGTCTGATTTACACTTCAAAGGAGTGTAGAAGGTTCTTGGCATTCTATAGAAGAACTGGAGACTGCTTATTAAACTTTAGTCTTGAAGGATTTCCAGTTAAACAGTTAAAACAACACTAGCCATATTGAAAAAGTGAAGGAAATGCATTTCATTACTTAAACAGTTAGAAGATTTTCCTGCAACTTGGCAGTGGCCATGAGCCCAATATGAAACTGAGTATCTTCCAAACTTTAATTTGTTTAATGTGAATTTCAGTCTCATAGCAGATCGTAATGAGAGCTGGAGTCTCCCTAAATCCATTGATTGCCAACATAAATAATCTGGCGTCTGTTTTGGAGAAAATTATTTGCACAATTATAAGACATGAAATTGATACGGTTTATAACAAACACTTGACAAAAGGTAAGGAACCAAATCTATAGACATGAGAATTGCTTCATAAGCACTCATTAGTGTCCAACTCGGTTTGTGTTTTAGCTGTCTGTGAAGATGGGTGCCAGAATGGAGGGCGCTGTATTGGACCCAACCGTTGTGCTTGTGTGTACGGTTTTACAGGCCCACAGTGTGAAAGAGGTAAGATAAAACATTGGAAACAATTACTCATTCCCTGCAAGAGTGGCTCTGCTTAAGCTCCAGATCTCCTGGCACTTTTCAAACACAAATCCATTTTTCCTCTTTGTTTAAATGGTGGACGTGACCTTTTTAAGAAAGGCTGCAAGGTATTTTCAATTTTTGGGCCTGTCTCTATTTGAATAAAATTCACCTTCCAGTTTTTGAAATACTAAAGTGTGGAGAACAAAACAACCAGATGCTGTACATCAGACACACACAAAAGTACAAAGGACTCACATGAATAATGACTGGTAATAGGGGTCATCTAACTATAATGTCACGTTTTTGGACACTAGCAAAGGGTAGACGTGCTCTTTTTCTGTCCATTGGAGCAATTTCTGCAAATGACTGCAAAGGTCTTCTGGTTTGGGATTTTTTACATACTGCAAGTGTTTTTGGATTTCTTCCATCTTAGATTACAGGTGTGTTCTTAAGATTAAATGATTATGTATAATAAATGGACTACTGTTACTGTTGTTGAATACCATGCTTGTGTAAATGTTTCAGTATGATGCTTTTAGCTAAGTACCTTTCATTGATCTGAAAATGGTATACATGTGTGTGTGCAAAAGCACAGGACATAAAAATGTTATGCATGAGCAGGATGTATGGGTATCCTTTTTAAAAGCTACCATAAAGCATAATACACTCAACCTCAAAATCTGGTCATTCTTGTAAAGTAATGTAAAGTAAAGTAAAATAACCATTTCAAATTCTGACCATGTCAACATTCTCAAAGAGCATAATGAAATGTTATTGTACTCTTTGTGCACTTTTTCTTTTTGCTCAAATTGCAAAACAACATATAAGCAAAGAAAGAAAAAAAATGAGATGGCTGCATTGGTCTTGTGTGAAATGATTTAAACAAACTGTGAAATCTAAAATGCCAAATGGGCAAAAAATAAAACCCCAAAAAAGGAGAGCTAATTTGTCCATAAATAATGACGAACCAAATAATTCTTATACATTATTTCTTTAAGCTGCCATACATTCCATAAATGTATTGCTGTGCTTTATTGCATAGCAATGGCCCATGATTCTAAGTAATAATAATTGATTTATTCTTTAGTGGTTGTATTTATGATTTAGCCCATACTCCAAAACAGTGTAAATAATATACGTTGCACAAATACATTTTTTATTTCTAGTTCCCAAAATGTTTGTAACTGTAATTAAAAGCATATAATGCTGAGATAATCTGTAAACCTAAAACAGCACTGAATCTTCATGGAAGTCTAAACATAAGATTAAGATACATTTAATCATAAAATGTTTTTGAATTATTTAATAAATAATCCAGTGACAGTGACTTCTATCAGACATTTCCTATAACTGTTAATCTCTTGCATTGGTGCTTAGAAATTTTGGCTTATTGTTCCATACAGAACTACTTAAATTCAGTGGCATTTAAGAGTTCCCATGCAGGAACAATTTGCTTCAGGTCTTTCCATAACATTTCAATGAGGTTTACATTCAAAATTTATTTGGTCATTATAAATTGTGAAATGTCTTCTTTTAACTGTTGTAGATCTTCTTGTACAATGGCTATCAAAAGAATTCAACCCCCTTTTTACATTTTACTGTTGCAATATAGAATCACAGGGCTTTTTTGCCATTGATCAACACTAAATACTCTACAATGACAAACCGAAAACAAAACTCTACAGATCTTCCTAAATTATTTATGAATACAAACAGAAAAAATAAGTTATTGTATGAGTATTTACCCCTTTTACTATGACACATGTAAACAGGCTATGGTGCAACCAATGTCTTAAGAAGTCACATAATTTGTTAGCTAGAGTGCACCTGTGTGCAATTAGGATATTTCACAGGATAAATATAGCTTATCCCATAGTAGATTAGTGCTCCCAAGAACAAAAACGACACCATGAAGACAAAGAATCTTTCAAAGTAAATCTGGGAAAGGTTATAAGAACATTTCCAAGGCAGTACATATCCCCAAAGCACAGTAAAGTCCATTATAAAGAAATTTAGAAAATATGGCACAACTGTGAAACTTTGAAGAACAGGGTGTCCCCAATAACTGAGTATCCAGGTGCAAGAGCACTAGAACCGGAGGTGGCCAAGAGGACTTTAAAGGAATTAGTCTTCCATGGATGAGAAAGGGAGAAACTGTGTGTATGACAGTTACCTGGATTCTTCACAAATTTGGGCTTCATGGGAGAGTGATAAAAAAAAACACATCAGATCTTGACTCAACTTTGAGACCCAATTGATTAAGAATTTATGGACTAACGAGACAAAAATTGACCCCTTTTCGCCTCAATGGTAAGCGTTACTGTATATTTGGCATAAGCCTAACAGTCAACATAATCCTGAGAACACCATCCCTACTGTGAAGCGTGGTGACAGTATCATGCTCTGGGAATGCTTTGCTGTATCAGGGCATGGAAGACTTATGAAGATAGAAGATAAAATGGATGCAGCCCATTTCATCTCCTAGGGCAGGACACACACATCTCATCCTCTGGATCAAAGGGCTGCCCCTTACCCTTCAGATCATAGTATCTCTTTTGGTGGAGCCCCACCTCAGTCAAGTGCTCCCTCCCGAACTGGTGGCCTTTCTCTATCCTCTTGTGATGGTCTGCTAGATAGGCAGAGTCAGTACCTGCCTGAGGATTGTCTCTAGGCACCACTCTTAATCCTAGGTTTGGAGATCCCTCCCAGACATGAGTACTGCTGAGGGTACAGCTAAGTGTCCTGCACATCCGTTCCATACACCAGCAGACCCAGAGGTAATTGACTGCCTCAGTCTTCTGGTGGTGTGTGGTCAATGTTTGGTGGCCAGGGTACACTTGAAATGCTCCACTAAACCATCACTCAGCAGGTGCAGAGGGGTGGTGCTGGTCTCCTTAATCCCCAGCTGCCCGCACACCTGAGACTGAGAATCAAACGTTCCACCACGTTGCTATGCAGCTCCTCCAGCACCTCGAACTTGCTACTACCAAATGCAAGAAGGCGTCTGCCACAGCCAGTGCACTCTGATCAGGCAGAGCATAAGTCCCTCAGCCACCTTGTAAAGTAGTCTATGACCACCAGGATGAAGCAATTTCCTACCTCAGGGCATGGAGAAGGGCCTAGGACATCTATTCCCACACTTTCCATGGGTGTCCCTACCTGTAACTGCTGGAGAGGAGCATGAGACTGGCCTGTTGGGCCCTTCTATTCTACCCAGTTATCACATGTGCAGCAGACGTTGTAAGTGTCCAAATGGCACCTTTCCCACTCAATAGCCCGCACCATTTGTAGGGTGTTGACCCCAAAATGCCCCACACCAGGTGCTCCATGGACCCTTCAATGCTGTCTATTGAAATGCCTTCAGGACAACCAGAAGCCACCATCTCTCGCCAGTGCCAGGCACTGCCATGCTTCAGTACAGCATCTCGTTGTGGATTGCCAGAGAGTCCCACAGGGCCACCAACCCCTTCACAGACCTAAAGCAAGGGCTCAGCTCTGCCTTTTTTGGTGCCCATCCCTATTCTAGCCAACCCTACATTGATCCCCCAGTCTCTCCCGTAGAGTATGCCGAGCTTGTCCAAGTCAAGCTACAGATGGGGTGGCCCTGTGGGGCCCCTTACTATCACGAACCTGGAGATGGCCACTTCTCCTCCTCTCAGCGCTCCCTCTACTCACAGTGGGCACAGGCTTCATCTGCACATGGACGTCTGGATAGAGCATCAGTGTTGGTATGCTGAGCCCCAGAGTAATGCTTGATTGTGAACTGATATTCCACCAGGGTCTTCAGCCACCAGGTGAGCTGCCCCCCTGGCTCCTTGAATCCCACCAGCCATTATAGTGAAGCATAGTCGGAGTTGACCAACAACGGCCTCCCATACAGGAATGGGTGGAAGTGCCTGAACCACAGCCAGCAGTTCCCAGCTTGTGATGCAAAAGCTGCTCTCAGAGTGGCTCAGAGCCCAGTGACCTGCTCTCTAAGGTCCCTCCTGAGCCAGCACTGCTCCAATGCCCACATCAGTTGGATCCGTATCTTGCACGAGGAGCTGGTCAGTGAGGGGATAAGCAGGACTGGGGACGGGGTGAGAGTTTGCATGAGGGTGCCATAGGCCTCCTCGCACTCTTCCGACCACCTGAAAATGACCCCTCATTCATGAGATCCATGAATCCCCTTACAAACCTATGGTAATAGGATGCCAGGCCTAGGAACCCCCGAAGCTCCTTCAATGTGCTGCACCACGGCCAGATCATTACTGCCTTCACCTTCTCCAGGTCAGTGGAGACCCCCTGGTAACTCTTTCTGTGTCCCAGGAACAGTGTCTCAGTCTTCAGAAAGCTGCACTTCTTTGGACTTCATCCCCACCTCCTGGATACACTGGAACACCAGCCACCATTCGACAGCGCCTTTTGAAATCCGACACATGGATCAGGAGATCGTCTAAACAGATTACACACTGACAGGAGCAGTAATGCTTTCGCCAGGACTCTCTCCGTTAGCTGCTCAAAGGTGGCTGGGGTATTGCACAAGCCAAAGGGCAAGACCTGGAACTGCCACAGCTCACTCCGGTTAATAAGCACCGCGGTGGTCCAAGGAGCTTAACCAGTGGGATACCCTGATGTGATCTAAGTCCTCGTCAGTTCTTGGGAATGTGAAGGCATCCTTCCTAGTCACATGATTAAGGTCCAGGTAGTCTACAGGACAACCAGAAGAAGTTGTCTTTCTCCTTGATGAGCACTGGCCTCCATTGGTCTGAGGGCTCCACATGCCCAGCATTGATGATGCGCTGGAGCTCTTTCTCTGTGGCCTGCTGCTTGGCGATCGATAAACGTTGTACCTTGTTCAAGTTAAGTAAACACTTTCATGCAATGAAGGTGCAGTATGAGATTGCTATCACAAACATTGTTGTCCTTGGGCTGGGTTTTGTATAGACTATAGCGCCAAAGGTTTTATCCAAGGCAACCTGGTTTTCAATGGCAATTTG